GTCGTTGCCCGTTGCCTTCAACCGTCGTTGCCCGTTGCCTTCAACCGTTTCTCAGAGCTTAGCGGTTTCTCTGAGCTATGAGTTTGAGATCAATGGGTTTTTTCTGTTCAAACTTCGAACTTGCCTCTTTTTTTTTTTTGTTGGGACCAACTTCATTGCTGGATATTAAATTCGGGTTTGGGTTCCTCACCTACCCGATTGCACAACTTTATCCCAATTCTCCCCAGCCCTTGGATTGATCCAATGACTATAAAGTGAACCCCTTATAACTTACCCCTTATAACTTACCCCTCATTATAGTCTGGTCGTGAGTTTTGCATTAATTTAGGGCTATATTTGGGATATAGCCCATGGCTGGAGATGGCCTTAGCTACTCAAATGGGGATATCACATGCGGTTTTCGAATCTGACTCAAAGGAGCTGGTCCAATCTGTCAAAGGCCATATTCTGAGGAGTAGATGGACTATCTTCCCCATTTTCTTTTGCTAGGCCCATAGCTAAAAAACCTACTTTCTTACGATTACGAGGTTCATTCGAATATGAAATCCAATCCTTGAAATATAGCATCCCACCTTTTTTTACTACTCAAGGCTTCGATACATTTCGAAATCGAGAAATTTCTACTGGAGCGGGTGCTATCCGAGAACAGCAATTCGAAGAGCCTGCAGTGCTTTCAGTTCGTACTCTTGGAACTGGGTTCCCCATGGTGCAAACAAAGCAGCAGATGCTGCAGCTTCTCAAGCTAAAAGGAGGGTGTGTGATGAGGTTTCGGAAGCCAGCCTCCCATCCTCTTTGGTCTTTGTGTTGCAAGCTGATGGGCTCCCATGTCCCCCTACAATGTGAGCATTGGCTGTTAGAGGCGGACACGCTCCCTATTTGGGAGGTGTAATAGGTTTGGCCTCTAACAATATCTGTGTTTGTTTTGCTGTAGCTTGTTTTTTCTTCTATTGTTGCTGTGGCTGCTTTAGTTTAGCAGTAGCTTGTTTTTCTCCTTTCTTTGTTGGCTGTCGGTAGCTTTACTTCTCATTTGTGGTAGTAGGTAGCCTAGTCCTATGTTTGTACTTCTCTTTCGTTTGGAATGAAAGTACCCTTGACCAAAAAAAAAAAAAGGGGAGTAGAAACTGTAATAATAAAAAATGAGTATCCAAAATAGAATAAATTGAAAAAAATTAAAAGCAAAAATATCCAGAATTAGGAATTAGTTGTAAATGTAAAGCTTAATTACTATAATTCCCCTTGAAACTATAGTCAACGAATACCCCTTGAAATTATAGTCAAATCCTACGTTGAAGCCAAAAAATTTTAGCCACGTTGTGTCATTGCCCATGCCTAAATTTATTTAATAACGTTTGTTATAAAAAGGGTATTCAAAATTACGGATGGAGGAGGATGACTTGCCAGCGTCCTCAACCTTATTCAAGCAAATTAGCAGAGCATTAATATGTGAAATTCATAGGGATCCCATGGATCAAAGGGCTGCCTTCCACTAGTTATCCCTTGAGCTTACTCAGAAATCGAGACCCGGTCAAGAAAGAAAAGTCTAATATTAACATTTTGCGGCAGAACCTTTATACAAAGACTTACTTGTGATGTTTTTGACTTGACAGAAACCTTTCAACAAGGAAAGAAACAGAGCCAGCAATGTCAGTAAAACAAAACTTGGACAGAAACAGAGCCAGCAATACCAGAATAATAATAATTACATATAATAGCACATGTTGATCGTCCATCCTATCTGCTGAAGTTTTTGGTGACTCTTGTGAATTGGGACCTTCCAGTGACCCAGCAGGAAACTTTTCCTTTCTCTTTCGCAAATGGATTCTTCGGTTTGCAGTACCTTGGAAAGGAATTGCTTCTGAATTACAAATGGCTTGCATAGGCTGGTGAGAATTTTGTTCGTCCTCAGACTTATTGGCAAGAACTGGAAGTGTGTCAGCAGACGCAGACACTGAAACTTCATCTAGTTTGATGATATCATCATTCAGTATATCCGCATAAAAGTCATCATCATAAGAACCCTGCAATTTGTAATTCACATGGATCATAATTCAAGAGTTGGACATACAATGGACTACCATATAGAAATAGAGTTCAAAACTGCCGACAGTCATGCAAAGTTTCTTGGACCGCTGATTATCTTTCACAGAACAAAAGTATGGTAAAAGTAACAGAAGAGCAAGTATTGTTTATAACCCCAAGACAATGACTCGCACTTCTTATGTAATACATATAAAAAATCACTTCTGATACAATGATGAATTGCCTATCTATCTTGCAGGTGGTCATCCCCACCCTCCAAGGCCCAACCAATACATATAGATAAATCCTGATAAAAATATACAAAAGTTCTGAAGCAGTTAAGCTTGAAGTATTTTTTTAACCCCTCGTAAAACTTGTGATCAATAGCTTTGAATATATATATATATATATATATATATATATATTTTTCCTTTGTTTTTGTAGTGGCATAACTACCTGACACAACTAAACTGTGTCACGTAACCACCTGACAAAAAACTAGGTGTTGGCTATACCTAAGCTCCTAAAATTTATAAATGTACCATCTGATACGGTTTTTTCTGGTAAACAATACTCACCTGATATTGTTACTGCTATTCAAAATCATGCACCTGTGTGTAAACTGCAACTTTGCAGGTGGGCTACTGATTTCATCTAAAATAAGATGGCCGTAGAAATAAAAAATAAAAGAAAGAAGGATATGATAGACAAGACGATAACCCACCTTCCGGTGGCCAGTAGATTCTGTCTGTGTAACCTCTGTTGTCTGTTTTTGGTTGGATTCAGATGCAGAATCAATTTGCTCAGTAGAATGAGAATCATGACTGCTAGTAGACTTCTTCGAATAGCATTCAACTGGCTTATCATGGTCAATACCAACTTCTGAGACAGCATTTTCACTATTATGCACAGTTGATAAAGGATTTCGACTTGAAGAACCTCCGTTTGTGGTGTCATTTAAATGGAAATCACTGTTCTTCCGGAGGCGGCAAACAACAATAGAATCCTGCAGCACAAGAAGCAGGCAGAATATTTAAGAGAAAGAAAAAAATCAGAAAGTGCTTGCATACTAAAATGAACTATTGAATGTGCAGATGTAACAAGAGACTATATAAATACAACCCACATATGCAGCGTGTAAATAATCTTGAACCAATTCAAGATGGTCTAGCAGGTGAATCTTTGTGGCTAAACATTTCAGTCACTTCTGATAAGTAATTTACTTTAAAGAAACAAATTCTAAGGAATATGAAGGTATTGGCAGTAAGGAGATGAGGGCGGTTATTCTCAAGAACAACGAATAACGTTGATGAAATCAAGTAATAGCAGCAATCAATCTATAGTCTTCTAAATCACATGGACTTCGTTTTTTCCTTAAATGGAGTGGAAATCATTTTCATATGAAACATTTCTCGCCAATCACCCCCATTTTTGCATTTGCCAACCACACTGCATGACTAAGATTATCAAAGTACTACTAGTTGAGAGAATGATAGAGTAATGCACTTGTGACATTCATGGACAACTGAAAAATGGTTCCAGACCCAAAAAAAAAAAAATCCAAATGAAAAGCGGTTCTCTTACAAATGGTATTAATTTAATCTTCCCTTTCCCAGAAGAATATACATCTGGTGATAGTTCAAACCCAATAACTAACCGATGACATTTTGAACTAATATTGAAAAAAGTTACCTGGGACTTGTCATTCATGCAGTATTCGTGCATAATCCATTCTGTCCTTTCCCCTTTTGGTGCACGACCCATGTGGAACACAAGTGTCCTCTTTGTACCAATTACATTAGAAGTTGACTTTACGTTGCGTTCTTTACCTGTGGCTTTCCAATAACCAAATTCTGTTGCTCTTCTGCTTTGTGAGCCATTTGGGTACTTTCTTCCTCGTGGAGAAAAGAAGAACCACTCATTATCCGATTGAATAACAGATTTGGCTAGTTACACATGCACCAACTCTAATCAGATGTCAAATCCAGCAAAAAATTATTTGTTTACAAAGAGACTTCAACAAGTTTAGGTGATTGAACTCACCACACATAACAATATATGTATATACGTACTCAATGTCGCACACACATATACATAAGCAAATATCATGCGTAGTGTTAATCAGACACTAAATTCAGCAAAATTGAACCAGAATGCATATATGTACGTGCATAACCAAACAGAACCAACATGGCACTTCATAATTAAATTTTTATTCAAAAGAAAAAAAAGAAAAAAAAAGTTTAATTTGTTTTACCCTGTCCAAGTAAAGCGTGATAATTTTTCTTGATCCTTTCAAATAAAACTATCTCTATCTCACTCTCTCTCTCTCTCTCTCTCTCTCTCTCTCTCTCTCTCTCTCATCAACTAAGCAGTTAAATAAGGTTTTCATCTTCATTGGTTTCCAAATAGACTAAAACCTCTATTTCAATAACCATCTCCAAGCCAAATACAGTGAAAAGAAAAACATATTTGCAGTATTTGTCCTTTCAACTTTCGCTTACGTGCACCTCATCCTGCATGGAGAGAGGTGGAGAACTGTGAGCACATGCATGTTTGTGTTTAATAATCTGACTAGTTTTCCTCGACAAATTATTGCAAGCTAGCTCCAACAACAGTACTTTTTTTTTGTCACATAAAATCGAATACCATATATAGGATTCATCCCATTCATATAAATAATTCACATCAGTAAAACATCCCTTCAACTAAATGTATCATGGTTCAAAGGTGCGGACCTCCCTATGGTGGATGAGCCACACGCAAGCTCCAAGGGTTAGCTGTCCGGCTCAAAATGAAAAGAAACTGGTGGACCGTGCATGTTGACAAGGGTGGGAGCCAGCTAAGGCCCTTGGGTACACTAATACCTCTAAGTTTTGACCCATGTCTGACGTTTCTCCCAGAATGTAATTGGATTCTTACAAGCAACAACTCTGTAACAAAATTGTTGACTCAATTCAACGCTGTCACTGTCAGCATGCAATTACAAAAACAAAAACAAATACGTTTTCAGTGTTTCCTACAAAAACAGAAGGAAAAAAAAAAACAAATTTTGCAAATAAATTCAATCACTATTTCACTACACAAACAAAACAAAAATCAAAACTTGAGAAAGATAAAGATGAAAGAATTAGAAATGATCATGAATAAAACCCAACAAACCTGGCAAGTCCCAGGGCTCGAAATTGCAAATATCAACT